GACCGGAAAGCCTGGTCTTTTTTATGATTTTGAGTTTTGTTCCACATTTTTTCCCATTCTATCCAGGATCTCCTATACTAATCCCTTTCCAAGTGGTTGACAGTGATAGCTGGGCACCATCTAGTTCTTCTGGTCTCAGGGTCATGTAGGCTGAGATTCACATGGTCTTCTGGTCCCTTGGGCTAATTGTTTCCATGCATGTTTGGTTTTTGTCATTCCTCTTTGCTCCATACAAGGAGAAACCAATTGTTGCATCTTAGATGGCTGCTTGCAAGCCTTTTAAGATTCCAGTCACCATTCACCAAAGTAGAATGTAGAACAATGTTTTTGTGTATTATGTTATGCTAATTGAGCTTGATGTCCCCTACAACCATGGCCCCAAGCCCACAGGCCCAACAACCCATTTTAAGCGCACAGTTTAATGATTTCAATAACTATATACAGTTATGCAACATCATGACAATTTAGAATATCCATTACTCAAAAGGCTCCCTCCTGTGTTCATTTGTAGTTAATCCTCACACCAAATCCAAGCAATTATTAATCTATTGTCTCTATAGATTCGCCTCTTCTAGAGATTTCATTAAAATGGAATCACATGAAATGGGGTCTTTTGTATTTGACTTTCTTTTACGTAGCTTGTTTTTGAGGTTCCACCATATACAAACATGTATAAATAGTCTGTTTCTTTTCAATGATGTGTATATGTATGTCTCACTTTCTATGATGGCATAATCAGAAAAGAAAATGCAAGTTTTCCCATTTTGAAAATTAAAACCATAAAACAGGCTTTCAGGGCTCAAAGAATGCGTATAGACTTTACCAAGTCCTTCACTTTTATCAAAGAACATGAGACTGAAAATTTTAAGTAAATATTTACAAAGATTCTCCTTTGTACTCTATTGAACTGTGGAAAGAATGAAATATATATTATTTTCTATACTTTTTAGGAAAATCAGAGTAAACCAAGTCAGTCAAAAAGTCTAATTTACAAGCATCTTAAACATTTCTACCAAGTATATTTGCCTTCTTACCTTCCTTTTTGTGTGTCACAAGTTGTTGAAAAGCTATTTAAAATACCTTAATACATAATTAATCACCTGCACACTATTAGCAGATTCAGCATTGGTTTCAGAAACAAACTAAATTTATATATGCAAGGTAAGCCTAATTAGTTAAGATCATAAAAAATGCAATATCCAAATTTTAGCACCTAATGTGCTCAAGAAAGTATTTGTGCTTTTAAACTGCAAGAACAGCTCTGTATTTAATTAGTCCTTATTTGAGTATGTAATCGTTTTAATTTGTTTGGACATACAGGACATTGTGCTCTATCAGCAGATAATGTTCTTCATTAACTAGAAGAGGAACTTTGTGCATAAAGACAGGAGAAATGTTTCTATCTACGATGCAAAAATCAGAACTGCATACTACCAGATTTCATCTCTCAGTTTTTATGTTAACCATTCTAAGATATTTATTAACAATAAATATTACTGATAATATGTATTCACTGTAGTAATAATAATAAACACTTACATGTTACTTAAGGGAGTAGTATTTAAGTATTCCGTCAATCTCCAGAAACCAGAAATTTTAAGTATTTAGTGGTTCTTCATTTTATCTGCTGCCCAGTTATAAAGTATTTAAGCAATGAAAAAAGATGTTTACTAAAAATTCAAGTAATCGTAATGTACTCAATAATTAGGATGGTAGCAAAAGTATAGTTAGTACAAAAATCAATTATTTCTTCACTAATAGTGTAAAGTAAAAACAGCCTAGATTATTCAAGAGTAGTGAAGATAGGCTTTATTTAATCTGTTTGAAAGCAAAAACTGTATGTGTGATCGCTTATCTATTCAATAAATTACATGAATTCCTCCTGAAGGCATTTCCAATAAACCATGCTATTCTCTTATTGCCATATCTTCCCCAAGTCCTAAACAGACCCTAAAAAGAATAAAACAAACAAACCTTTTAACGCTACAACTATATTTAAAAAGATATGCATATATTTTTGCCTGATTCTCAATGTTTTATTCCTAAAGTTCTTATTTTGAAACAAGCATGGTTTTAGACACAAGTAAACTGCTTGAGAAATAATTTAAACTTATATTTCCAAAACAATGAAATTTGACAGGACATCACAAAATGAGTCAGGGATAGACAGTGAGGACAGATTTAACTCAGGGAACTACCTGTAAGAGGCTTGTTCTAGGTTGCATTTTGAAGGAAGACCCAGTGTTGTTCTTTGGTAAATATGCTACATGCTATGATTTGTATCACTGAACTGCTAAATACTTTTTAACTTGGTGTTACTTCATGAAAAGCTGAACACCTGTCATACCCGCCCCCGTCCCCGCCACACACACACACATACATACAGGATAAGGTAAACTAGGTCTGAGTTACTACGTAAGATGCTCTCTATATGACAGTAAGGTGATCTCTAAATGTGATTTTGATTTCCCACAGTCCTTGATCAAGTCACATAATATCCTATAGGAAGAGTTCTTAGTTTCTACACTTTCCTTTTTGTCCAGAGTTCTAAATTCTGTCATATATATGGGGAAAAAAGGCATATAATTTCAGAAAAGAAAGGGATCTCTTTTGTAGGTTTTAAGTACTGTAAGAATAATTGGATAATTTTAGCCTTGGAGGTAACTGTTCTTACTTAGCTTTGGAGCATATGTAGCAATTCCTGTTAAAGCTAAAAAATGCACACGTACTTGCAAAATGTCAAATGTAAAGTACTTAAAAAAATTCTACCCAAAATCATGTTTATAGATACATTTTTAAAATTCTCTAATGCTATGGCCAATATTAGAGAAGAGTCAGTAGTTTAAGATATATAAAAAGTATGTAACTTAACATTACCTACATAAGTACACCTGGAGAAAGAATACCTATTTCCACAAGCCTAGGAACACAGCCTTGAAAATAATTACTGGTAAACATAGTATGATAACAAAGTCATACAATATGCATATACACCATTTGTAAAATCAACTGCATATCTTTGATAGTACATTAGTGTGAGCAAGCCTGTCACTCCACTCACTGAGCATAAGACTTGGAGTGAGACATAGCATTTGTCAGTCTGTGGCCCCCACAGTGAGTCTCAGTTACTGAGTAACAATACTGGATAAGTATCTGGCCATACTGAGAGTATTTCCAGTGTTTAAAGGTATCTGTAAGTTTCTGGTATAAAATTAACCCCCAAAAGCAAGACAGCTACTTAACTGAAGAAACAAGAATCTATTTCAATGCTGTTGTTATTGTTATGTGCCATCGAGTCGGGACCCGACTCATAATGAACCCTCCTGGGTCTCCAAGGCAGTATCACTACGGAAGCAGATTGCCCAACCTTCCTTCCAAGGAGTGGCTGGTGCATTTGAACTGCCAGTCTTTTGGTTAGCAGTCAAGTGCCTTAGGCACCATGCTACCAGAGCTCCTACTTCAATGCTAGAGGAAAAAAAAATGCAATGTGGCATTATTTGATACACAGTATATCAGTCTTTTCCATGTAAGCTTGAACACAGTTATGTAATACTGTATTTTATGGGTGATGTCAGAGATGTTTAAGGGTAATTTTGACTACATAGAATTTTTATATTATTCAGCAAACTCTAGAACCAAACTCTTGTTATCAAATGTAAATACACTGCACAGTAGTTAAATATAGTTTCACACTTACTATTTGGAACTTAGATAAAACACAACCATCATCACCACCAATCTCTGCAATAAAGATTTAAATTAAAAATTATTTTATTGGCGGCAAGGAGGACAATAAATAAAATTTGATCCGCTTGGGGAATTTGGTTGAAGATTAATAGTTTCAAACCTAAACAACAGTGGATGAATTCAAGTCCCAAATACAATTTACCTTGTTCATTAGGAAGAACTGGATATTAACAGAAGGTGCACATTGCATCTGCCTTAGTAAGAATTGTGGCTGTATTTGTAAAACTGACTGAAAAACAAAAACACATCCAGGAATAACAATAAAATATATTATTCTAAAGTGGTTTGGTAAGCTTGTAAACATAGACAAAACCTAATTACTAGTGTGCTCTCCTCCAGAAGATTAATTATTAATAAAGAAAACTACACTTATATGCTGGAGATTAAGTTATGGTATCTTTGCAATAAATGTTTTATATATCTTATCCTCCTTTTGTGCTTGAAAACTATGCTTAATAAAAACCATCAATATCAGTTGGAACTTCTTTTTATTCAGTTGGATACATAAGTCTCCTCTTTAAAGAAAGATAATGTTCCCCTCCCTGTAGGACACCTCATCACTGCAACTGAGCTTTGTCTAAATCAGTGGAGTTTTTCCAGAAAAAGCCAACCATCAACATATAGAATATAGTATTTTCCTATAGATTTTCTGGCAAAAGACTGTGACAATATAAACCAAACAAATTTAGTACAAGGAAATAGTATTTCAATTCGAAGTAAATTGCTTTTCATTTAATCTTTCTCTTTCTTTTTTCCCGATTCTATAGCAGATAACCTTCATTCTTAAAATGTAAGGCTAAATTTGGAATTCAAGTCAAAAGCAGACACAGGATAAAGACATAGAGAATTGTGGTTTAGCAAAAGTAAACTCAACACAGTTGGGAAAATTTTAATTACTAAGCATCAAATGCACTTTACATTGATAACTGCAATACTGACAACTGTGACATTTTAAATATTCTTCTCTTTTCTTTTTCTTGGGAAACGTGAAGATCCAATTATGGGGCCAGTATAGGTCACCGCTGTTTACTTAATGTTAGTACCTAAAGAGGCATTCACATTTCATGTCTACAATTAGGTGGATTGTGAACTTCTTTTATCTCTGAATTTAAGCAGAAATTTCATAATTTAAATTTCTGAAGTGCAAACTCATAAAGCTCTACACTGAGATCACTTTTTTCCTTCAAGTGTACCTGCCTTGAATACACAACGAATTTTTCTTTTCTAATTCCTTGGAAAACCTTCCAGAGTAAGTCTTGTATCTTCTTCACTATGATTGGGTTGTTTTTTTAAGAAATATTACCAGCTCTGTGGTTAGTTTTTCAGAGGTGATAAAAACCTATCAAAAACATTATAATATAATTTATAAGAAAAAAAGCTGTATTTCTAAAGGCTACAGGAACAAGAAAGAAATAACACATCTTATTTTATGAGCATGAACACTTAAAGCTAGTCACACTGGTAAATCCAATAAAGTATTCAAAAGTTCTATAAAAATGAACAAACGATACTTGTTTACATCCACTGCTCCAATGGTCAAATGTTACATCTGCATGAGAGTAGGACTGTAGCAGTTTGCTGGTCCGTTTTAAGAGTTCAAGGTCCTTTTTGTGTATTTGGCCCACTGATGTCCATATCCGAGACAAATTCAGTTCAAAAGACGGAAATTAGGGCAAAGACTCCATACAACAAAGCACAAGGATATGCTACTAGAAGTTGTTGTCCTTCCATGGCTAATGCAGAAATAAAAATTTTGGAAGCAGAAAAACTACACCATCCAATAATTCCAGCAGTGAGAATGATTCCAACCATTCCTCTGTAACCGACAAAGAAAACATGGGGGACAAAAAAAAGCAGTAGATGAGATTAGTTATCTAAGAACCCTACGATAACCTATTCTAAAGAAAAGCATTTTAAAATCTACATGCGGACATATGCAGGAATAATCAAGATATGAGAGCTCTTGTGGCATAGTGCCTAAGGCATCTGACTGCTAACCAGACGGCTGACGGTTCAAACCCACCAGCCACTCCTTGGAAGGAAGACTCTGCAATCTACTTCCGTAGATATTGCCTTGGAAAACCCAAGGAGCAGTTGCTATGAGTCAAATCAGCTTGATGTCAATGAGTTTGGTGTGGTTTTTAAAATGTACCTCACTGAAATTCAATGATGCAGAATCTTGCCATGTTAAAAAGCTCATTTATATCTTCATGTTTCTTCTTGTAGTACTAGGTTTCTCAACTTTGACACTATTGACATCTGGACTGGGTAAATTCTTTGTTGTGGGGTGTTCTGTGTATGGTTAGGATGGTCAGCAGCATCCTTGGCCTCCACTCACTAGATGCCAGTATCTCCCCTCCAGTTATATAAACCACAATTATGTCCAGACATTGCCAAATATCCTAAGGGGCAAAAATGCTCCCAGCTGAGAAACACCATTTTAGTAGAAAATAACTTTTAATTCTTTTTTTAAAAAATTAACTAATGAGGAGAATGAAGCAATTTATACACTGGAAGTGCAAAGCAGTTCTAGCCAAAGCATAATCCTGTAAAGCCATCAACTTGCCAAATTTCTCATCATCAGAATCTGAACACGGAAGGAAGGTTGGACAATCTACTTCCATAGTGATATCGCCTCAGAAACCCAAGGAGGGGTCGCTATGAGTCGGACCTGACTTGACGGCAGTGAGTTTTGGTTTGGTTTGGTTTTGTGGTTAGTGTGCAGATTCTGTTAACAGTTCAAGCTCCTCCTTGTGGATAGTTGTAGACACTAAACAAAGTCAGGGTTTGCTACATTTAAAGTGAGGGGGTGTTGCAGGGGGACCCAAACCCATTGTTATTCTAACTCAAAATGACCCTGTAATTTAGGAGAAACTAATCATGAGGAACTTAAATCAGTAAAAAATTACACTTGTCTTTTAAATAACCACATTATTTTAAAATTACACATATTTAAGGCTGCTTATGTTTGAGAACATGGTAGGCAAATAACAGCGTCCAATCATAAAAATAGTATCTTTTAGTTTCAGTTAAAAAGTTGCCAAATAGAGAGTATTTACTATCCATACTTTTAGTATATGCCCAATAGCTTATAGAAACAAGATTTGGTCTAAAAATTATCAATGAGGGAGTAAGTATAATTTTAATAACCTAAAGTCTTGACCTTTTCTACAGAATATTTAATAATAATCATCAATTCATTACTGCTTTGACAATGGCAAACACAAAACTAGTGAAATTTCATAGATATAAAACCTATACCTATATCATAGGTAAAAATGAAGATGGCATGCAAGATTTTTAAATCTGTTCTCATTTCCCACTGTACATTACCCAAAAGCATCTAGCAGAGTCATTACCTATACGAGGCACTGTCTGATACGTTTGCTGTATCAAACGTTTGGGAATACGTTTGGGAATTTATCCCAAGCTAAAGGTGAAATGAATCCTATTATATAGAACCTGTCAACCCCCAAAATAAAGATCAGTACTTACTGCAAAGAAAATATTACTGCAAAGCTGGAAAGTAGGATCATGGGAAGAAGACAATATCCAAGGACACTTGCCACACAACCAAATGAAACACCTGTCATGCTCATTAAGTTTAACAAACAAAACATTCCTAGACATCCAATTGCACTGATCCCATATACATAACCAAACTGGATTTTCCCGGCCTATAGGTAAAGAAAGGAATACAGGTTAAAAGGCAAATAAGACTTTATTTTGGTTGAATTTCACTTACAATGAAACATGTAGAAGATAGTCAACTAGTGAGCACTTAGTCAATATTGAGATACTTACACAGATTTCTCTTTTTTATGTAAAAAAGTAAAAGACTGAACATTACCTTGTTAAGAAGTTTAAAGGATCACTTTCCAATGTACTGATATTTGGCTTTCCATTTTCTAGTTAGCACTTAAACATGGTATATAGATCAACAAATAAAGAGATAAAATGGTAGCACAACCACTTAATGTAGCAGAATTTTAAAAGAAAGTAGCTGATTCTAGACAAAGTAACTACAGAGACAACATAGATATCATTCATAATGTTTGGATAACAGCTAGTATCACTTGAAACCACCTGATTCTACCAAAAATATCCCAAAGCAATCCATTCTCAAATGTAGATATCATCTTTTTAACAGCAGCCATAATTTTGACATTTGCTTTATAGGGGTGTTAGAGAAGCTAGGAGTAAGGAAGCCAGAATAAGCTGAAACCCAAGGTTTTGTGGTGGAGGAGAGGAGACAAGAAAATGGATTAACCACCAGGCAAGAGGAACATTAATAGTAATTTTTTTTTTTCATTATTTTTCCAAATTGGTGGTTGACTTATACAGGCCCTTGACTTAAAACATGAGCTCTGTGGCATAGTGGTTAAAGCATTTGGCTCCTTCCCAAATTGTCGGTGGTTTGAACCCACCTGCCCATTCCTCGGGAGAAAGATGAGTCAATCTGCTTCTGTTAAGATTTACAGTCTTAGAAACACTATGGTGCAGTTCTACTCTGTCCTAAAGGGTTGCTATGAGTTGGAATCGACTCACGGCAGTGGGTTTGGTTTTGACTTAGAACACACTTATCAATTCTGCTTTTGTAGGAGACATCACTGACAAATCACAGGACAGCAAAGGTTGGAATTAATGTAGTCAAGGTATGTATAAAGAATCATTTTATTCAGGTTACACTATTACTGAAACTAGTCCACAAAGAAGCCTTCAAAAAGCACCTTGTTTGTCACATTTTTGTCACACAAAACTCAACAGTAAGAAGCTTCTACAGATTATGGCAAGCAGAAAAATCTTTGGAATTTTTGTTAGACTCAGTATTTTATTAGTAAACACGTGATTAAGAATGCATAAGTTTGAAAGAGCTCAGCTGAGTTCACTGCGAAATACATTCATGTAATAATCATACAAACTCATACCTGCATAGTACTTCTATCTTTTCAAACTGTTCACACATACCCTGTCTTGCTCTATCTCCAAAACAATCCTGTTAGGCGGGCAGCACAGGATTATTATTTATCAGAGGGGACTTGAGGATTAAATGACTTTTTCAAACACAGAATAAAGGCACAGAGCTCAAACTCAGCTATTCTTACTAAAAATCCCATCTTCCATCCATTACATGTTTATTTCTCTCTTGTAATTCAGAGATATAAAATAAATAAAACAAATACTAACAATTATCTTCATAGCCAAGAAACAATACAAAACAATTTCTACCATTTGAAGACAAACGTTAACATTCTGGGAAAAAGGACTCTAACCTGTTGTCCTTTAATGTTTTAGTTCATTAAAAGTTAAAATAATATACAGGAAAATAACCACTATATAGAAATACAACCCTAAAGTCTAGACTGAAACAACAACAAAATAAATAAACAACAGCACTAGGCTAAAAAATGGTGGGAAATAAATTTTGATGATGGAATGTAAGTCACATGTTATTTATTATTATTTTTCCCTAATAAGTGGACCACTTATTAGAATAAGAAATCATTTCTAAATCTGTTAAGAAGAGAAAAATGATGGATGGATGCAAATTCAAGCAATTCAATACTATTCAAAACATATTAAAGATGTTATTGTAATAGTCAAGGAAACATTTATCTATGGAAGACCATTTTCTTTGTTGGTTACCAGGGGTGGGAGGGGAGGGGAGGGAATACTGTTAAGATAGATAGAGGTAAGTTTTGATTTGGGTGAAGAAAAGGGCAATGTACCAAATGTGAGTGATCAATATAGTGGCACTGAGGAAGAGAAAGACATAGAGAGGTACGTGGAAAGTACAGACAACAAAGATGAACCCTTTTGCGCATATAGTACGGAGTGCTCAGTGAAGGAAAACATGGATATATGGGTGGATAGATGGGTGGACAGGCTGAAATATTAGGAGCTCTGGTAGCATAGTGCCTAAGGCACTTGACTGCTCACCAGAAGGCTGACGGTTCAAACCCACCAGCCACTCCTTGGAAGGAAGGTTGGGCAATTGTACTTCCGTAGTGATACTGCCTCGGAAATCCAAGGAGGGGTCGCTATGAGTCAGGGCCAACTCGACGGCAAACGACAATGACAACAACATATGAAGTTGAGAGTGCACGCAAGAACATGTATAGGGTTGGCAGAAAGTGGTCCAATAACTTTATGTGTATGATCTGAATTCCCAGGTGTATAATGGGGCTGACAAGGGGCAAGGTTGTAGTCACTGCTTGGTCACAGCCAGCTACCCAGAGGGACTGACCGAGTAGTTGAACCTGTAGGCTCAGGACCATAGTTACAGAGGATTTCAAGCTCAATCGGCATAACATACTACACAAAACATTGTTCCACCTCCTACTGTGGCAGGTAGTGACTGAGATCTTAAAAGTTTGCATGTTGCCATCTAGATGCAGCGATGGGTCTCTCCTCATCCAGAGCCGAGAAGAATGAAGAAAATCAAAAATTTGTGGAAACAATTAGTCCTAGCGACTGGCACACCATCCGATCTGCAGCCTATACAACTATGAGACCAGAAGAAACAGATGGTGCTTGGCTACTACCGTCAACCACTTGGAAGAGGATCTTTGTAGATCCTGGATAGACAGGGAGAACAATGTGGAACAAAACTCACAATCACTTGGGGAGAAAAAAAAGTGGGGAACAGGTTTGATGGCCTGAGGGAGTCTGGTGGAACCACTGAGACTATGGCCCCTAGCTGCCCTTCAGGTTTGGAATTGAATGCACACCTGTGGCTTCCAGCCAAACAATAGACAGGCATATCAGTTGACCATTTATTTACCTGAGATAGATACACTCCCTGGAGAGAATAAGCATGGGAGAAAGGGCTGCTCAGGCACAGGGAGACAGCTCAGGGGGTAGGAATGCATGGAGAAACGGACACAGGGAAAAGGTAACTATCAGGAGGAAGTGGGAGGGGAGATGTTGCACTGTGCTAAACTGTGGTCAATGTCATGAGACAAAGTATATGTGAACTGCTGTATGGAAAGTATATTTGCTCTGTAAATTTTCACCCAAATCACAAAAAAAAAAAAAAAAAAAACACCACCATATTAAAGGCCTGGGGTATAATTCAGTCTCAAAATGACTTTTAGTGGAAAATGTAAGAATATTCTTTAATCTTATGCTGAGAGTTGAAACTGAAATCTTACCAGTAACAAAGTGGCTCCAAAGGCAAGGCAAAAAACCATTGGTCCTGCCAAATCAGTCTCATTCATGATGCTGCCATCTGCTACTTTTAACGGGTGTAACACTGTAAGTGTTTTCTGCCAGATGTGATCAAAATTGATACCTAACTCTAAGGGAAAAGGAAATACAGAAATCCATTAGGATTTGTAACAGACTTTTAATATCTCAGAATCTATACTGGAGTAGGAGATATACTCAGAGAGTCAGCATTAAAAGTAGGTAAAGGAATACTGAATATTATTTTGTTGAGTCCTCAGCGCTAGTTTTTACTGTGGAGTTTATCCTACCAATATCCAGTCTGTGGTTTGGTGTTGAAAAGCATGGATATGATGAAACAGAAATCTATTACATCTCTCAGGTATCGCTACATAGCAAAGAACATATGCACAGGGCTAATAGTAAGAGGTTCTTTACCTGGAAATTCAGGAGCACCTGGTGGCCCTGTGAAATTATATATACACTAAGTCTCCAAGCACATGTCTGCATTTTTCTGAGGTTAGTATCCACTTATAGGTTTCATTATACTTTCAAAGGGACTCCAAAAAGAAAACACTTTTTTTCCCCCCTAGACCTACTGCTTTATGGGTTTTTAAGTTTGCTGGAATACTTTGAAAGCCACTAATACTTTTTAGTAGAAGCTCTGGTGGCATAGTGCCTAAGGCATTTGACTGCTAACCAGAACTTGGTGGTTCAAACCCACCTGCCACTCCTTGGAAGGAAGATTGGGCAATCTACTTCTGTAGTGATACTGCCTCAGAAATTCAAGGAGCTATGAGTCGGATCTGACTTGACAGCAGTGAGGTTTTTTTTTTTTTTTTTTAAAAAATACTTTTCAGTAATTTCACTAGTTCTCCCAGATTATATCCATGTAGAATAATCAATACCATGGTATTTCTTTTCAGTTCTTCTACCAACAGAATCTAATCAATAATCTGAAGTAAAATTTTATGCTCACCCCAGTATAATTATATTGACATACTATATTATCATTTTATAAAGGCCTATCAAAAATCTAAGGAGCCCTGGTGGCACAATCATTAAGCACTTGGCTGCCAACCAAAAGACTGGCAGTTTGAACCCACCAGCAGCTTCATGGAAGCAAAGTGTGGCAGTCTGCTTCTGTGAAGTTTTACAGCCATGGAAACTCTATGGGGCAGTTCTACTCTGTACCATAGGGATGTTATTATTTGAACCAACTAGATGGCAATGGGATTTTTGTTTGCTTGTTTATTAAAAATGGAGTCCCCTCTGGCCCTATCTGGTTTCATACACATTGCTGAAAATGGGTCACTTAGTAAAAAATTTCTTTTCTACAAGATTATGCTTTCTTAAAAATTGTAACTTTTCCAAATTAGGATTTGTTTTATGTCTATCTAAATATTACAAAGCAATATATTCTTGCAACCAATTCTACCTTCTAGTAAAGGTGGTTCATCCTCAAAGTTGTTTCCATAGAATGACTGAGGTGTAGTTGGAGTGAATGCCTGAGTTGGTTGGAAAATCTGCCCAGTGTACGGTTGCTGTGGTTGCATCATGTCTGGAGGGACAAATCGGCCTTGCTGCGAGTAGTCATAGCCACCATACTGCCTGTAAATCAAAGGAAATTACATTCATCAGAAGTATCTCACCTCTGCCTCCTGACAGCAGAAATCCCTTAAATTCCTAAATTTTCATTTTGACAGCCAGGGAAAATTAGTCATGCAATTCCTAGGATACTTGCTTTTTCAGTTCTTATAAATAATTGAAATGATTACTAAGATAAAGCTGATTATAGACAATCTGTCCAATGAGGCTAACTACTAAATAAGAACACGTTAGGGGGAGTCAAGAAGTGAAGATTTAACAATATTGTTTACTTTTCCTTCTCAGTGAACATATAAGCTGCAAAGTAAAAACTAGGAACACTTAGGATGACAGATTTTGTACTATATCCTTTGCAATTTTTCTATCGTAATTTGGATCTCCACTGAATGTACAACCATCATTCTACTTTATTCCTGTAGTATGTTATATTTCACAAGTGGGAAAATTTCTTTAAGAATATCCATCAGTATCAAACCAAAGAGTGGACAAATCAAGTTTATTCTTTGTGAAAATCTTCTGAATATAATCAAACATCAAACAGTAACATTAGTACAACTTGCGTGTAAATAATGTGTTTAACTTTTCAAAGTAGTTGTTCACTTATTTGGCTCATTTAAGCAGATGTTACTTCAAATTCTGCATTTTAGAGGGAAAGCCTTACCACCAAGGCTATTTTAATGACAACAAGAGGGAAAAAAGGATATGGAAACTTTATCTTTAAAACTCCACTTTCACCACGCTCTGTAAAAATATGACTTATCTAAATTGATGGGACTAATCTAAATATTACAAAAATAATTCCTTTGAAGAATACTTAAAAATTGAAAACTGAAAAGTCTTAAAGATTGTCTAATAACCTTTTATAGATGTTCATTTTTGATAAATATAAAAATCTCATGACCTCCATTAACCTTATTTGAGATTTTAAAATTAAATGTAATCTTTAATTAAGCATCCTGACTGTAAGCAAATCAAAAGAACAGTAAATTTTCAGCTACACAAAGCCCTTAGAGATTCCAATGTGATTTTCAAGAATTCCCTATACATGCTAATAAAACAAAAAAAATATATATATTTTTCTGTCTATAAAATAATACTGAATTCACTACAGCATTATTTTAACAGAAAAAGAAAATGAAACACTGAAACTAGCTATCACTAAATGTACTGTGATATGGGTATTAATAGATTACCATACGCTTGTTAAAGGAATGAGGCAGGTTTATGTGTACTGATATGGAATGATAATCAAGAAACAATAGGAAAAAAGCAATGTCCAGAATTCTGCATACTGTATATAACCACCATGTTTTTTAGTATACAGGTTATGTGCTTAGGACAGCTCTGGGACTATACACAAGTAACTTCTAACCATGGCTGCTGCTTGGTAAGGGAACCTGGAAACAGAAGCAAGCAGAAGATGTGATTTGCATGTTATATAATTTGTACTTTTTTAAAAATGTTGTACCATTTAATTAATTACAAAAATGTTATATAAACACATAAATATATATTATTAAAGATTTTAAGGAACATATTATTTCATTATTACCTTCACTACTACACTACGAAGTAACCATTATTGTCTTCCCCCTTTAGATGTGGAAACTGAAAATTGGGTTAAAATGATTTGCCTATGGTGGTGACAGGATTCAAAACGAGGCTGCCTGACTCCAGTGGCCAACTCTTAACAATTATAATAACTGGTAGAATCAGGGCAAGAATTTACATTTCCTGATTTAGCACAATATGCTGTCATGTTGATCTGTTAGGATTTATAACAAAATCCACCTTTTACTTTATAAAACAGCTAGAAAACCTCCATATAGAGAGGTTGTTATAATCTACATAAACAGGTTGTATCCCACTCCTTGAAAAAGATACAGCAACTGAGACAAACAGACACAGAGAGAGACAGTCTGTCTTATCTGTTTCCTCAAGTAAAAATAGTATCCCATGAATAAAAGTGGCCAGTTTAGCTTACAACTCAAAACAACTGTACAAGTACTTTCTCCAAAGCGAAACACTGTACTTTAGTATAGAGTAGAAGTACTTTATGACTAGTTCACATTTTGTCACACAGAATATTATAAAGATGTTTACTTATGGACTGAGATTTAATGAAACTGTAATTCTTACTGCTTCATCAAAGGCAAGTATGTGGTGGTGAAGAATATAATGACTACTGGAACAATTTGATGTTACTGTCTTGATTCATATTCAGGTACCAGCAGTTTTGCCAACCATTACTTTTGCAACCTCACTATAAATGTCTATACACCTAATTAGGGAAATGACATCTTAGTATTGCTATGAAAACAGCTGTGACCTCAGGGACTTTCTGAAAGGTCTCAAGGAACCTTTGGGGTCTGCAGTCCATACTTTGGGAAATGTTTATACAGTCCTATAAATTCCATGTAATGAAGAGGAATGTGCTGTTAAGCAAACCACAACTTCAAATGCGGCAACATTACTTCACCTTCAAGAGACAAGGTAAGAAAAACCACTGTATTAAACACCACAGAATTAAACTATTTTCATTTTCTAAAAGAACACAGGAAGACTCTGAACTCATTCATATTGGTTTTAAACTAAATATGGTGTTGGTAGACAAGATCTTTAAAGAGCTCTGGTGGTATAAAGGTAAATGCCTGCCTGCTAACTGAAAGGTTGGCAGTCTGAACCTACCCAGTGGCTCCATGGGAGAAAAACCTGTCAATTTGCTCCCATAAAGATTATTGCCTAGAAAACCCTAGGGCAGCTCTACTCTGTCACATGTCAAAACTGACCCCAGAGTATCTAACAAGATAAGATTTTTACATATTAAACTCACACTTTCACAAACATTCTGTACCAACAATAAAGACTAAAATTTTCTTAACATGTTGGACTGGCTACCTAAGTCATCCTCAGGTAACCCGTAAAGTGATCCATAAATCACTAAGTCAAGGTTTAACACAATTGGTATAATATATAATATTGATAGAACTAGAATACAATGTAGGACCTGATCCAACATAGCATTCTTAGAACTGAACAGATTATGATTAAACTTTGATCAAAGGGCTTTTTTGCTTTTTGTTATATTTTTGCTTACTTTTTTTTATATGAATGTTTGATTATTTATAAAGCATCTATAGAAGAAACCATGTAAAATGTAAAAGCTGACTTTGTAGGGTAAATATGCAGAACCCTAGACTCATAAGAAGTCAATAGAAACTTAGACAATCTAAGTAATGTGTTACAGAAATCTAGATTTTCATCAATAATAGCTAAAAGTTATCAACTGATATTTGCTATCATGTTAGGAAACAAAACAGTATTATTTAATAAGCTGAGGTGAACACTTAAAATGTTAAGGCATACCTAACTGAAGTGCATACAGGTACATAAAACTTCAATTTTTCAGAGTTTGAAACCTTAAATGTGTCATTGCTCATATATTCAAAAACTAAACACACTGCTGTCGAGTCAGATCCAACTCACAGCAACCCCTCCTTGGGTTTCCAAGGCAGTATCACTACAGAAGATTGCCCAACCTTCCTTCCGAGGAGTGGCTGGTGGGTTTGAACTGCCAGGCTTCTGGTTAGCAGTCAAATGCCTTAGGCACTATGCTACCAGAGAGGCTTCTTAATTTCCAACGCATCATCTGTAAACCCATATTTGTTAGCTAACAAGAAGGCTTATATAATCACTGGGAATAAAATGTAACCACTAATCATTGGGCTACTAACCAAAACGTTGGCAGTTCAAACACACCACCTGCTCCCTGGGAGAAAGATGAGGCACTCTGCTTCCATAAAGAATTACAGCCTTTGAAACCTTATGGGGCAATTCTGCTCTGTCCTATAGGGTTGCTATGAGTTGGAATCGACTCAATGGCAGTGGTAGTGGAATACTGAAGCAATGCTAACTGGCATGGTTTAGTTAATATGATATTTTTGAGGAAAATAACTAGCAGAGAAAAACTATCTCCTGTCTGGAAAACTGAAATGAGGAAATGATATATGGAAAGAGAAGATAAGTTACACCTTAACAAAAGCAAGCAAGGGCATGACAGAAAAGAAAGGCAGAGACAGATAAACCTGGAGGGTTGTAATCTAAATGGAATAGTTCTATTTGAGCCCATATATCAAGATCATAGGGTTAAAAGCAGGCCTGCCTTAAGAGACAAGTTCTCCAAAGGCCTGTTGCTACTACAAAGATTCCTTAGATGGCACCTGACCAATTTCACATTTATTTGCACATATACAGAGTAATCACCAAAAATACACTTAAAGTAAAAAAGTTAATAAAAATCGCTCAATATGATTCTTACAGTCCTACCAAATTAATTAATTTAAAGAAACAAAACCTCATTAAAACGTACTTGAGAATTTGCTAGAAGGAAAAAAATGATTCATAGATAGAAGGTATTTTTCACAAGTTCACTCTCATTTTTCAATGTATTAAATTTTAGAGTGAAAAAAAGCACTTAGAATAAAACACATCAAATTAAGCAGATTCAGAGTCTATGTATTGTAGAAAGGATACCAGAAAAACAACAAACTCACTACCATCGAGTCAATTCCAACTCAGAGCAACCCTCACTGGGTTTCCAAGGGGATAAATTTTTATGGAAGTACATTGCCCCATCTTCCTTCTGTGAAGCAGCTGGTGGGTCTGTCTGAACTGCCAAACTTCTGGTTAGCAGTCAAATGCCTTAGACACTGTGCCATCAGAGCTCGTTTGTAGAAAGTATAACAAAAGAAAACCAAAACAAACTCACTGCCATCCAGTGGGATCTGACTCACGACCCCTCCTGTTGTTTCCAAAGCTTATCTCTACAGAAGTAGATTGCCCAGTCTCCCTTCTGAGGCATGGCTGGTGGGTTTGAACCACAAGCCTTCTGGTTAGCAGTCAAATAAATGTCTTAGGCACTACGCCATCAGAGCACCCTGTAGAAAGTATAGCCAATGCAAAATAAACCATGGTGTGAGGCTGCATTTATTTTTTCGTTCGTTTTGCTTTACAAGTTCATAGGCACTTTTATGTGACTGGATACACAGCCTTCTCTCACCATCATCCTGGGATGGTCTTCATGAGGTTATTAACTCAGGATCTATGGATGGCCATCAGATAACATATAAACTGCCTGAAGTTATATGCACATTTATATGTGTACTTAATTGAGTGTACAGGTATATTTCTTAGAAATATGTACAATCTTCATAACATTTTAAAAGGGGCCCTGAACCATCTAAAAAGGTTAAGCAACAGTATAGGAGACTCCTTTACAGTACAATATGCTGATAAGATTATCATTAGAAGATTAGTAGAAAGCCTTCAGTTAATGTTTTTTGCCATAAACAACAGGGAATATATAAAGATCAGTTTTTTAACAGTACAAAGTCGAAAGGCTTTGAGTCATCCTCTTCAATCTGCAGATGGCAATTTGTGTGCCGTAAGGTTCTGGAATGAGGAGTAATAAAAACGATTATCAACTGCTATATGAAAATGACCTGATGACTCATAATAAGGAGGATACAATGATTAAAAGGGTCACTAAACACTTTCAATAATACAGTCTGAAAGCTGTACTGACTGAACTACTAAACAAACCTTTAAGATATTTTAACTAGTTGGCCCCATGAACTAAAAGGCTATCTTCTAGGTACCCGAAGATGTCATTCATATCTCAAATGATGTAAAAACTATCACTAAAAGGAGTTCCTCAATGTGCTACTTTTCCATCAACCCTACACCTGAAGATTTTGCAGAAGATACCAAACTGTAAACAGGGGAAATGTCTTCAAACCCAAACCAGTTTCCCAGATCTCTCCAGAGGAGAAAGGAAAATTATGAAAATTCACATTCCTGATAAGGGACATGTTCACATATACAGTTTCAGTAAGAAACAAATACTCTATACATGGTTTCACTGCAATCTAGACTAAATAAATTTCCAAAGTTGAAAAGTTACTTGCTATAGGGTCCTCCACTTCCGCCATAATCGTAGGACTGCTGTGATTGGTCCTCGATGCTGTAACTGGTCTGGTAGAAATCTGTGTTGAGGTTATCAAAGCCTGACATTGCAAATGATCTGCAACAGAAGAAAAATGGCAAATACTACTTATGTTCAGGGTCCTACTCAATTCGTTCCTTACACTTTGGGGAAACACAAAACAAAACAGCCAATCCTTTGCCTACTAACCCCAGGAGACAGTGAATGCTTCCTATGTAATTTTGGGGAGCATTTGAAAGGCGGGCTTCGGAGGGGGACAGGTGCTAAGAAAATGTCTACTCTCTTATTTAAGCCAAACGCCGCACAGACTACTTCAAAGGGTTGATATGCCTTGTGCTTGGGGCGAGGGACGGGAGTGGTTGTTCCACGGGGTTCTGAATATCGACAAGAAAATGCCTCACCTTGGGACAGACCTATATAGCTGATAGCGCGTCTGCCTGCTTGCAAATTCAGGCCCGCGGCCTGCCAGCAAAATGCAGAACGCTGGATAGCCGCGTCTGGGGTGCAGGGGCTGCGTTAGAAGGCCTGAAATGTAACAAATGAGGGGAAAGGACCACAGCGCGGCGTCGAAAGATGGCGATAAACCGTGCTGCTCATGTATGGAGAGAAGACAAACAGTGTGCTACGAGCCTAGGACACTCACCAAGCGCGGCAGCGGTGGTACCTGCAACACCAGCAGTTCCAAACACCCACAAAATCCAGTTTCGGAGTCTTAAGCTAGCGCCGTTGCTACGTGTCACAGGGCGAAAGAATCATTTCCGGGGCATGCCTGCTCGCGCAAGCGTATTGGCAAGCTTTCTTCTCCTCTGGTTGGACGCCGTCGGGTCCCTGAGATGAGGCATGCGCAGCATCAGCCAACTCTGCGGCAGGTCAATGAGAAGAGAAAAACTGCTTCCGGCAGTCCAGTTAGCAGTGAACGCGGCGAAGCGCAGGCGCAGCAATTACTAGTTAAAGTTGGGAGGAGCGAGTTCTCTGTGAAGGCGGGTCCTGGGGCGAGGTGTGTTGTTGTTGTTATGCGCCCTCGAGTTGGCCCCGACTCATAGCGACCCCTCCTTGGGTTTCCGAGGCAGTATCACTACGGAAGTAGGATTGCCCAACCTTCCTTCCGAGGAGTGGCTGGTGGGTTTGAAACGCCAGCCTTCTAGTTAGCAGTCAAGTGCTTTAGGCGAGGTGTGGAACCGGTGATATGAAAGGAATAGAACTCCCCATCTCTTGTCCATAAATCATAGAGCTTGAGTTTGTTTTGGGATCTGGTTTTACTGTAATTCACACCGTGAGCTAAGTAGCTTGTATGTATCACTTTATTTAATCCTCACAACTTAATGAGATAGTTACCCTATTGCTCCCCTTTTGTAGATGAACCTATTAAACATTCATTCATCGTTGCAGGGCAATTATGCCAGCTTCTAGAAATACTGTGGTAAATAAAAGCTATCTGATGTCTGTCCACATGGAGCTGGTGGAGGAGAGGTGTAATCAAATGTACAAAAGCATGTAAATTCTTACCAGTATTGTTAACTGCTCCATAATTCTTTGAAAGAGTGTAATATTTAGAAAGAAAGGGAAAGCCTCTGAGAAGGTGAACTAAAGGATGAGTAGGAGTTAGAGAAGAGGGAGAAGAAGGGCAAAGAAGAAAGCTGTGAATATTTCAAGCAGAGGGAACCATGTGTGCAAAGGCCTGAGATGAGACACAGCATGTTATCAGGAAAGGTGTAAATCGCTTTGAACACTATTGACATTTTGGTCCAGATGATTTAGTGGTGGGGAGGAGGGGTGTCCTGTGTTTAGCAGCCTCCCTGGGTTCTACACACTACATACCACTTGTACAGTGTCCCTCAACCCTGTTGTTGTTATGTGCCATCGTCATAGACTATCAAAAATGTTTCCAGACATTGCCAAGTGTCCCCTGGGGCACAGAACAGGTGTGGTTGAAAATAAATTGTCCAAATGAAGTTTGGGGTTCCTGGTTTCACTGTAATTCAGGCACTGAGCTAAGTAGCTTAAAGAAATAAAAACTCAAGGCAGTCTAGTCGAATTTTACTCATAAGCAACCCCTCCTTGGGTTTCTGAGGTGGTATCTCTTCTCTATGGAAGTAGATCACCCAGTATTCCTTCTGAGAGTGGCTGGTGGGTTTGAATGTCAGCCTAATGGTTAGCAGTCAAATGCCTTAGGCACTATGCCACCAGAGTTCCTAAGTAGCTTATATGTGTCTATTTATTCTTTTATTTGCCACAACTTAATGAGATAGTTATCCTAGTAAAGTGAGGAGAGTCACATAGGAGTTGAGGCTAGAGCCACAGGCAAAGGCTAGGACACAGAGCTTAGTGGAATTTGGGTGTTCGTTCCAAAAAAAAGTAGGAAACCACTGAAAGTTGTGAGTTGATGAGTGACATATTTAGATTGTTTCCTTTTGTGAAAGACTGCTTTGCCTGCTATGTTAAATCACTTTCTTGAGGTGGTGGAGTACTCACAGCCCTATAAGGATAATTTCCCTTATTAATGATTGAGATAAATTATTCTTATAATACTAAAACTTGTACCAGCTTTTGCATACGATTATCTCACAAATGAAGCCAGACCATCACACTGGGAAGAGTTTCCAAAGAAATAGTAAAATCTTACTGCTTAGAACCTTTCCCCCAAAACACACACACACACACACACACAAATAAAAATAAACAAATAAAAACCACACTCTTGTGCAAATAAAGATAACAACAGCAGAATGGCAAAGTAACAAAACCAAAAATTCAGGAATGTACTCAAGAAACCAATAGGCAGCTACCCTTGTAGGAAAACAAGGTCCTTACACCATGTTGCAAGGGCCAATGATCACAACAGGTTGAAGAGAGAAAGCAAACAGTTTGAGTATCAATATTCAAGGGGACAGAGAATCATTTCTCTAGAAGTCTGTCTCCTCAAGCAAAGGGGTAAACATGATCATATAAGGAAATGAGAAGGAGGTTTAAGATCCCTTGGACTGCCAGGAATGTCTTTGTCCTTATCTTCCCTGATTACTCCAGATTCAGCATCCCTCTTCCTAGGGTCATCTTGCTTCATAGGCTATGTTTCTCAGCTGAAACCAGTCGTGGAAAAGGGTTATGCTTAGAAGAATGTTGTTCTTGTTGTTAGGTGCCGTCGAGTCGTTTCCGACTCACAACGACTCCATGCACAGCAGAACGAAACACTGCCCAATCCCCCACCAGCTCCACGATTCCTGCTATACTTAAGCCCATCATCGCAGCCACCAGGTCAATCCATCTCGTTGAAGGCCTCCCCCTCTTTCATCGACCCTCTACCCTACCAAGCATGACATCCTTCTCCAAGGAATGGTCCCTTCTGACAACATGATCAAAATAAGTGAGACGAAGTCTGGCCATTCTTGCTTCCAAGGAGCATTTTGGGTGCACTTCCTCCAGGACAGATCTGTTAGTTCTTTTAACAGTCCATGGCACTTTTAGCATTCTTCCCCAGCACCACAACTCAAAAGGATCAACTCTTTTTTGGTCTTCCTTATTCACTGTCCAGCTCTCACATGCATACGAGGCGATTGGAAATATCATAGCTTGTGTCAGGCGCACCTTAGTCCTCAAGGAGACATCCTTGCTCCTCAGCACTTGAAACAGTTCCTTCGTGGTTGACTTTCCCAGTGCTTAGAAGAATACATAATTGGAAAATAGCGAATCTAAAGAACTCAACATTCATAAAGAAGCTGGCCATTCTATTTATTATAATAAATTATTTGCTTATGCTCTCTTTAAGCTACATTATCCATAAAACTGAGCTATAATGCATCACTTCATCTACTTAGTGATCTTACGTTTCAAAAAAATTCTATTGACTCTTTCGTATTCCAGTGTTTCCATTTCTCACTGTCCAAAAGAAACATCACTCTCAGATTTGTATAAAAGTATGAGCATTAAAAAGTGTCTGTTTAGGAATGAATTGTTGAATATAAATGTTATTTAAATTGTACTTCTGTCTGTGGAACAATTACCATATTTATTTGTCCCACCACAACACCTCCCATTCTCCAACTGGAAACCAAACAAGAAAATTGAATTGCCTGAATAATTAATTCTTCCATAGTGTTTGTTAGACTTTGAGATAGAAGCCAAAGTACCCTGCAGAACCCCCTCTGGGATTTTGAGGTCAGTCAATATCATGGCTAGTTCCTCAGGCTTTTCTTTATGGAAACTTTTTCATGTTCTCCACCCCTCCATCCTACCCCTCACCCCTGAAACATAGACACCAGAAAGTTATATTAAAGAAAGCTGAAGAATTGTAAATGTGCTGAACCTGATTAAAGCCATTGAACTGGCTTCATTAGGAGTGAAAATCTCAAAGAGATGAAGGGGTGAAAGAGCGTAAAGTAGGGTGGCAACAGCTACCAGTCCTCCCCCACGACCTGACGTATCAATCACCAGACTTGTAACTAAAAAAAGGAATGAAAAATGTACTCGTGAATAATATCTCACACTATTTTGACAGTCATGCTAGTATCACAATAATACTTGTACATACTTTGGAAACACGGAAAAGCTTTCCTTTCTTAGAATGGCAGTGGAAATGATTAGATATTTAAGAAGTTCTTTCATTCTCCTCTGTTTTACAGTAAATGTGGGGAATTGGGCCAGAAAATTGTGGTTTATGTGTGGGAAGTTTTCCCCTCCCAGAACTCTTCAGCTATATCCACAAAGTCCAAATGGGGTAGGGATTTGGCAGCTGTGCAAGTGTCATGTTAGGGTCAAAACGAAACCTGATCATTCTATTAACACTAGTATAAGTGCTGATGGTCTGTTCTCAGTTTCTCTGCATATTAATCATGTAACTCCATATCATAATTATGACAACTACATTTTCTCCAAATTACTCTTTATCACGGAGAAAATAGTTTCCTCATTAAGTCATCCCTATTCCAGATGTTATTCTAATTCTGTCTCAGTGATTTCAATTATTTTACTTTGAACAATAACTTCTTGTTTTGGAAGACACATTTGCCTATAACAACATTGGATACTTTTGAACAGGATTAGTTTAAAGAAAGGCAGATAATTTTTTTTTTTCATTTT